AAAGCATTGTAATGTGTGTGTGTGTGTGGGGGGGGCATTAGTGGGGGGTCTGGGGGTCCTCCCCCAGAAAATTTTGAAACTAGTAGATGCAGTTTCCTGCATTCTGGTGTATTTTACAGGTTCCTAAACATACTTTTACCTACATAAAAAACACTTGATTAAATAACTAAGAGACAGATTCTAGTTGAATCATCCTGTTTTTAAACTCACTGCTGTGGCTCAGATAATGAAATTAAGGTGACAATTTATCCCAAACAATGACTTTAGAGGAGAATTTTACTTTATATTGTTTGTTCTTGATTTAGTTTTATTTGTAACATGTCACTGTGCCAAGAACTGCATGTTTAAAATGTTAACTACACAATGAACAGATCATTTATTTTTTCTGATTAAATGACAGGTCTACACATAAACTGACATGACATCATGCAGCCTTTTACCATAATGACACTGTGTCAAACAGTGGTCATATAAAATATACCTTTCATCAGTTTTAACATCCTGTAAATATTAAGAAAAACTGATACATGGATGTTTGGAACTGATCAGAAATCTAATGATGGATGAATTGACAGATTTATTTATTGACGTTTATTTAACCAGGAAAATCCTAATTATGAAAAACAATTTCTACCACTTTCTAGAAATAAAACTTAAAGTTGTTAATCATGCTGTAAATTATGCGTTTAGATCCATAATTTCTTTGATTAAGTTCACACAGCTGACTAGAATGTGCGCAAAATAAATATTAATTTGAGTAAACATTTTATATTTCATTCACACCTGCCCAGCACCTTCACTGCTCACCTGACAGAACTCTACCTGCTGAACCTGCCTCTGACTCTCAGCTCCTACATCAACAGACATGGACATGGTTTAAGTATTGGTTTATTTTTACTGTCACCTGAAGTCAGCAAAAAGTCAAGAAAATATCATGAAATAACATGAATAAATTAACAGATGACCACTTGTTCTTTCCATGATCCTATTGTTAAAAGTTAGTTCTCTGCCCATGAAGCACTGTTTTTATGCAGAAAATACTGAAACTCTAAAAAAAGAAACATTTTATTCTTGCTAATACAAGCAGTACTACTTTAAATGTTTGAATTGACCAATTTCTGTAATTTACTAGCTTCAGTTTCCTTATTCTTGTCATTAACATACAGTTTAACTGATTWAAAACACCTCAATAATAGATTTAAACTCATCACTGAACTTAAATTATAGCTAACATTAATGGATCACCTGGACTAGCTAACTGCACTTAGTTTTGGTAGAAAAAAACTGTGTCGTGGGGAAATTTTGATTTATTTTCTGGTTCTTTGTAAAGATTATAGTTTTACCAAAAGCTGGACATTATCAGAGTCTTACCTCTTCCAGTTGTAGCCTGTAACTCGTTTATGCTGCAGAAGGCAGCTCAACGCAACGTGCACAGCCTTTGTGTGTGTGTGTGTGTGTGTGTGTGTGTGTGTGTTTTGCAGCCTGGTGGGGACCATTTCCCCGGTAAACACAGGTGGTGGTGAGGACCCACTCTTCCTTAGGGGGGAAAAGCCCGGTCCCCGTTGGGGAAAATACTGTTGGTGGGTTAGGGTTAGGCTGTAGAAATGACCGGTAAATGAATGGAAGTCAATGCAAAGTCCCCATGAGAATAGAAGAATAAATTCTTGACTGTGTGTGTGACACCACTCTGCTCTGTCACAAGGAGGAAGGGAGGGAGGAGCGGGCTGCTCCTCCAGCTCTGTGTGAAAAAGGGAGGGGGAGCGGGCTCTTTGCTGCTGCAGCTCTGTGGGAGCGTCAGTCAACAGAAGTTCATCATCAGTTTTGATCGGAGATTTTTTTTCGTCCTATCATCCCCGTACTAACTGCGCCCATCGGACCGGCCCATTAATGATCCAGCCCAGCGGGATTCGACCCGATTGTCCCGATTACCCACTCCGCCCTTGGGGTACAGAAAACTTAAATGCCAATAACTTTGCTAAAAACCAACCAAAGTTTAAAAACAAGGTATCAGCAGATTCGTATTGATTAGCTCTTTGATTTAAATGATTTTTCATTAAACAAATACGTGCTCGATGATGCCATCAGGGGGTAAGAATATCACTAAGCCAACAAAATATGAAAATTTTCATCTTTTTAGCCTGTAGGTTAGGGTGGGTCACCATGCACACCCCATGACTGAACTTCTCTGATATTTTCATGCACCCTAGGGTCCACTCTTTCAAAGAAAAAAGCATGTTAACAGAAAAAAAAGTTGGGTCTCACTGCCCCACCCCCAGGGACAGCTTTGGCCACACACCTTTTCCATTGTGACCATCAAAGTTAGGGGTACATGGACCTTAACTGCCAATTACTTTGCTATAAACCAACCAAATTTTACAAACAAGGTATCAGCAGATTCATACTGATTAGCTCCTTGATTTAAATTACATTTTATTAAACAAATATGCAAACAGTGATGTCATCAGAGGGTCAAAATGTCACAATCCGAACAGAAGATCATCTTTTATCCGAGTTTACTGCACAGATCCTAAATATTCAACTTATTTAGCCTTTTCATGCACCTTAGGATCCACTTATTCAGAAAAATGTCTATTAATAAAATTAAAGTTGTAGGTACAACTCCACAGGGACCAGTTTTGACCACACCCCTACTCAATGTTTTCAGGGTCTCAAACTTACATGTAGATTCACTATGGCAGAATAAAATGTCATGAATCTGGTGTTAAATGATAGATATTAACATGGTCTCTCACTTAGATGTGCTTTTGTTGATTATTTATGCAAGAGATCATGTTACCAGCCAGGAGT